CATTCAATACTCAAAACAGAATCATACACAAATCAGGTCAAACGTTGAAATACCTTTTTTATAGTCACCAAAACAAAATGCATTTTTTCAATGTAACTTATTTAGGCTCCATGGCAAGAAATAGTTTATTAATCAATATGAAGCAACTGTTTCATGAAGAAACTGTCTATAGCTTCATTTAAATGGTTCTAACAGCTGTAGGAATTTTATTATTATTTATTGCCTTCTCTGCAAAAATGTAACAAATAAATGTTGAATATTTGAGGTTTTCAACATTTTTCACAAAACAAATATTTTTCTTAAACATAATGCTATATATGGTACCAAATAGAAACTCTCCTGGTTATTTTGGTGGTGGAACCACGCTGATCGGTAAAAGAATCACAGAAAAATTGGTGAACATACATAGAAAAAAAAAAACATTGCCACAGACAAATTGAGAACCTCCTCCTTTTGTTGGTAGTGGGGAAGTCGGTTAAAAAAACAGACCTCACAATTAATATAAGAGATCCTTATAGCACATGTCTCCAATTTTAGTATAACCAGCTGTTTCAAATATTAGTGTCAATTTTCAAGTAATCATCTGTTCAAATGTAAACAAACATTTTCTCCCTAAGAATAACATGGGAACTTTGAAGGCCACTGGGGCAGAGCCCTGATGGAATTCCCAAGTTTTTTTGTTTGATGGCAAAACTACATGCTAAGACCTTTCTAACGACACCTTGGACATGGTGATCGGTAGCACCACCGCTCTAAAACAATTATGACAAAAATATGCCTAGCGTATTAAATATATAGATAATATATGAAATAACATGAGTACCTACCCTTTTTTTAATTAAAAAAAAGGGTACTATATGTGTGTCCATCCGCATGATAACTTGAGTAATTTTTGTCTGATTTTGATAAAATTTGGTTTGAAGGTGTAAGGCGGGATAAACTTGAACGAGATCGCGAACCAGCATGATCGGACTATGGGAACGGGGGTTTACTGGGGGTTTTATGGGGTAAAAATAGGTTTTTCCCATTTTTGACTCATAAAACATAAAATTTAGCAATTTCTTTCCAAACCATTTTGTAGAGCTTAAAAAAACAAATACCAGTATATTGAAGTGTTATTACAGTATGCGCCTAATGGTTACGGAGAAAATTCCAAAAAAATTTAAATTTAAAATTCCCATGTTATTCTTATGGAGAACAAGTAAACTGTTGTAGTTATTTTACACTACAATTAAAACCAAATTTTATCAAACTGTGTCCCCCCCATTGCAAACGCAAACCTTGAGCACACTGCAATAAGCATTTTAAACTTATATGCCAACAGAACGGGCACTCCTGCTAGTAATCTATATATATAATACGCTAAGCTGATTTTTGTGAACAGAACTCCTCCCTCATTTTAGGAAGGATTTTAATGGTTAAAAAGTCAAAATAATGGCCCTGATCTGTAGTTTCATTTTTTGAAATCTATTAGTTTGAGCAGGATCATCCATCAAAGTTGGGTTTTCTCCCATAAGATTAACATGGGGGAATCCAAATATTTAATTGGAAACTTTGTCTCCACTAATTTGAGAGAACGGCTGGGCATAGAAACTTGGTAGAGGTGTCCAAAGAAAGGTCTTGGTCTCTAGATGAGTTATCAAAAGAAAAACGAAAAGAATCCCGTTGGGGCTCTGCCCCAGAATCCCTTAAAGATCCATCCACAGATTTGTTTACATTTTGATCAAATAGATAATACTTCTGAATTAAACAGCTGTTAATTCTTAAATTGTATTTTAAACAACACACGTTTATTGGGAGTAATTGAATTGTCCAAAAGAAGTATTTGCAGTGTTATTTGCTGATTTTAATATAGATTTTCTTCTGTATCATGCCATGTTTTGCAATAAAACGTTCCATTACGAAATCAGTTGGCAATCATTTTATAGTACAAAAAGACCATAAAATTCGTTAAAACTATTAAATCTATTATTTTAAAAATGGCGGCCATTTTCCAAAATGGCGGCAAACTTGAAAAGTGGAAAACTGTGTATTTTATGGTCTTTATGGAATGTGGATGCAATATTAAGACTTCTTTGACTTATTTACTCTTCGCATTTTTGCTATAAACCTACTTGTTTAGGAGCTACATGATGTAAAATGTACACCGGAAGTCATTTTTCCATAGGCTGTAACTCCTAAACAAGTGGGTTTATCGAAAAAATGTCAAGAAAAAAAAGTTTTTAAATTGCCTGTTCTATCCGAAAACATGATAAAATATAGGGTGTTCCGTAAGAAATTTCAAAGTTGGCCGCCATTTTGGAAAATGGCGGCTGAATTTCGAAAAAATAAAATCATATTTTTAACTGCCACAAAAAATAAAGGAATGTCCCCCATTTAAAGTTTTCTCTAATTCTTACCGTTTCCGATATCCCAATGGTGGCCTCCTTGAGTTGATCACCCTGTATATAAATGACCTACCAGCACATATTTCCATAAGGTTCGTACTATTTGCTGATGATACAAGTGTAATAGTTCAGCAAAAAAACCTGTCTGCATTAGAAAACACTTTGAAATTAACACTAAAGATCTGAAGAGATGGTTTGAATCAAATGGACTTTTACTAAATGAATGCAAATCTAACATTATGCAATCCCACATCAGAATTAACAATAACCACAAACTCAATGGAACGGATTTTAATGTCATTTGATAAATATAAATTTCTTGGGATTAATATAGATCAAAGTTTCAATTGGAAATCGCACATTCAATATTTGGTTAGTAAATTTACTTCTTTTTGGTTTGAAATTAAATGTATTCAAAATTCAGTGTCACTAGCAACATTAAAAATTATTTATTATGCTTATATACACTCTCTGTTTTGTTATGGAATTGTTCTGTGGGGAAACTCAGGGAATATTAGCAAAGTTTTTTAAAGTCCAAAAAAGTATTATTAGAGTGATGATAGGGGCAGAATATGGATCAAGCTGTTGTCGTTCTTTTAAGGAATTGACAATAATGCCATTGACTTCTTTGTACATCTATGAAACAGAAACAGTAAATTTTGTTCATTTAAATAATACACTTTTTGATGAATTTAGACCCACTCATAGTTATAATACCCGAAACCCATATCTGCTAAATTATCCAATTCATAAACACTCTCATTTTGAAAAAAACCCCATCTAAATGGGGATTTGTCTATATAATAAGATCCCCTCAAAAATGAAATCCTATACACCACAAAATTTAAAAATTGGACTAAAGCATTATTGGTGGAGAAATCAGTAATATGATTCTAGCAGAATCCCTAAATGACCGTGGCATTAATTGACCATTAGTTTAAGAAAAAAATATGACACAGAATGTTTTTAATTGTTTTTTTCTCTGATATTGCTTCAAGATCTTCATTTAAATTTGTCTTTTTTCTAACTTGTTTCAATTGGTAACTTTCTCTCAACTGTGCTGTTCTTGTTGTACTTTGTTGTAACTTTTTAGTTTTAGTTTTTATAACTTATTGATTGACCATGCATCTGTTCACCATTGCCTTATTTGTAATTGCAATAAAATACTTATGACTTATGGCTTGGATTTAGATTTTGTATAGATTGTATTTAGATTTTGCAGTAGGAGGCTAAGTGTAGACTCCTTCCAAGGTCCTGGTTACATTATTCAAAGTCAATTATAGATGAAAATATAAGCAGTATCTATCTTTGGGTAAAACCATCAGCATTTGTAATAGTAGTAAAAAGGTAAAGTTTGATAACAAAATTGTAGGTCTATAACATAGCAAATGGTATAAACATAAGTTTTTTCAAATATATAAAAATGTCCATTTAATTCTTTGTTTGTAAAAACAACAATTCTATTTTAAGGTCTGATACAATTGATGTAATTAATAAATTGTGGTAATTTAAAAGTCACCTTACAATAATATAATTCGAATTTCTGATGAATATAGTTTTTTGTAAACATCCTCACAATAAGTCTAAGGTCCTGTCTGATCAAAGGTGAAACTCACTAACAATCGGCCCAAGATCTGCCACAGACAGATCTCAGGTAAAGACTCTTGGCTCGGCTGTTGCACCCAACACCCTAACTTGGTCTCCAATGCTTAAAGAATTTATAGTTTTCTCTGACAGATTGGTGAAACATTTTTTTTTATCAGTTGTAAATAACTTGAGTTTCTCAGTGAATAACTTTTAAAATAAAATCACTAAACAGGGCAAAAAAGTAAGCAATTTATATCGTAATATATATTTATCACAAATTAAGTACAATGGTTACAAATAAACATGTTTATCACATATTGCACTTTATCAAAAGCCTGTGGATGATCTCATTAATTGATAAATTTCAGAGTATTATGAAAATATGACACACACAGTCTCTTAGTCAGCTGAATTTTAAATACAACAATATTTAACTTTGATTTTTGCTTATGTAAAAAGCAAATTAGGAGGAGTAAATTATGATAAGAAATTCTACGACTATCTGGTGACATACATAAATGAACAAATTTTTATGTCGGTAATTTGTAGAATGGAGTGTGTATATTAGTTGTATTGGTCACCTGGGATGGTTGGTACGTAATCAGCTGGCAAGTACCAGTCCACATTGCATATAATATATAATTTTGCCAAAATTGGTGTCTGGGAACAAACAAAACAAGCTCTGCCTGTATGCAGATGATGCAAACTTAAAAATTTGTAATCGACCAAAATAATTACTTTTGATATCATCAGTTATTGCTTAACACTACCAAAACCAGTCTTATTCAGTTTGGTACAAAACAACATAAAATTAATAATTTAAATTTTTAATCAGTATCAGTTGGTCTAAATAACTATGAAATTACCAAAATTGAAAATACTAAGTTTCTTGGTTTAACAATTGATAGTAATTTGAGTTGGGATCACCACATTGAAAAGTGGCTAAAAGGTTATATCGGGATTATTTGCTCTGTACAAGCTATCAAAAGTATGCAATCTAAAAACATTAAAAATTGTTTATTATGCATACATACATGCAATACAAACATCAATTTTGGAATCTGCAAGTATGGAGCAACGACTAAAAGTAATTTAGATCGTATTCTGATTTTACAAAAAAGAGCTTTATGAATAATGAGTAATATAAAATGGCGAGATACTCTCAAAGAGCATTTCAAAAGTTTTGGCATCATGACTGTTTATAGTTTGTACATTTATGAAGTGATCATGAATTGTAAGCTTCACTTTGATCAATTGGGCTTACTAGGGGAAAGTCATTCTTACAATACTAGAAACAGGCAAAACATATCAATGCCTATTCACAAACTAAGCTTGTACAGAGTATTTAATAGTTTTATAGTTTAATAATTAATAGTTTAATAGAGGAAAATTGTATAATAATTTACCCAAAAACATTAAAAAAGAGGTTAGTATTATTTAGTTTGAAAAATTTCTAAAGAATTATTTAATTTCAAGACCACTGTATTTATTGGAAGAATTTTAGTATGTTTAGTTTTTAATGTAGTCTTATGAAAATATTTTTGACGCAATTCTATGTACTAATTTCATGTACAATTACGAAATAAAGAATGTTTGAATTGAATTGAATATTATGTTACTACTTTATCGTTAAGGTATTCTAGTCAACCATAATCATCAGACCATAAAGCAGAGACTGGCAGTACCTATTCGGTTGTACAAATAATAAACTGTATCCTAAAAAATGTTATCTTTCAAGCAATAGATCTGAGGTTTAAAAGTAAAATATTTTTGTGACATGTAGCACCAAGTGAAAATTTCAAACTATGTCAGTTCTTAGTTGAAAGTTTAGCTGACAGCGACGTAGATATAAAACCAGAAACTGACCCCTGAATGGTAATTTATAATTATAATTTTGAAAGGTCATCCACTTTTTAATAATAGCTTGACAATACTAAATATAATACTGCAACAACAAAATCAAAATGCATTTTCCAACTTTTCCTTAAACCATTGACTATACAGAGTGTAAATGCTTCAACCCAGTGAGTGGTTAGAATACGTTATTTTAGTGCTATTTTGATTTGTATAAGCATCAAAAATAAATGTGCAACAATAAAACCAACTAGGATAATTAACTAAATAAATTACCTGTTAAGTTAAAATAAATAAAGTGTCAACACAGCTTTGGCAAACAAATTGTTCAATATTGTCATTAATCAGTAGGATGTTAACAAATATAAAAAATAACTAGTTCCCACTTACTTTTTTATATAGGGTGTCCCACGAAGGGGTTTAAACGTTTGATTTTATATTACGCGCCCATTCATGCACCGAACTTTTTTAAACTTTACACAGTTTACAAAGTAGGTTCTAAAAATATTCTGGAAAAATTTCAACTCCCTAACCTTAGTAGAAACAAAATGGCGGCATATTGAAAAACAATACTTTAAAAACATTAAAAAGGTATTTTTGGTTTTATAAAATATTTTTATTGTTACTTTCCAGGGCAATATGACTTTTAAATAAAAAAAAAATAGAACATAGCCTAATGGAAAACTATAAATAAATCAAATATCTAATAAATAATAATAATAAATAAATAACTAATAATAATTATGAAAGTAGTTTTTATAGAAAGCACATAGGTAAGTTTGTCAATATGCCACCATTTTGTTTCTACTAAGGTTAGGGAGTTGAAATTTTTCCAGAATATTTTTCGAACCTACTTTGTAAACTGTGTAAAGTTTGAAAAAGTTCGGTGCATGAATGGGCGCGTAATATAAAATCAAACGTTTAAACCCCTTCGTGGGACACCCGGTATATTTTTTTACAGAACTGTTGTTTAGAATAAGCTGACAAAAATCTCATAATCTGGAATGCAAAATTTAATGACAAATAAATGCAGTAATTGTGGAATTACAATGTTATATATACTGTACATTAATGTTTATTACCATCACCATAATAAGTTAATCTCTCTTCATCTATACAAACAATTTATTGGACGGTTCCTGTACAAAGTCTATTTCTAAAATATATACATTAGTTTATTTACATTATATTTTTAAGTTAGACAGTATAAGATTAATAATAAAGATTAAATGTCAAGAAATGTTACAAATGTTACAATATTACATATTGAGATTGTACTGCTTCCATTTGAAGACCAGCTTCAAAAAAATATATCTTGTATTCAATACACTTGGTTTATAACACATTTGTTTATAACATACAAAAAAAAAAAAAAAAAAAATAACAGAACTATGAAAAACAATAATTATGCCATGTATAAGTTCCAAGCCCAAACTTGACCAGGTCACTGATTGTTTCCTACTAGTATAGCCTCCAATTAACTCCTTTGCATTCTTTGGTGAGAAAAACTTCTAAAAGTCATCTAGCAAGAAGAATGATAGCTCACCGTAAAAGTAAACTGTATATTGATAAATTGTACACATACCTTTTTAAAAATGCTTTCAATTTCCAATATATCGCTAAGTACTGGGTGAGGAATTAAACATTTTCAAAGATCAAAATATGACATACCAAATTTTCTTTAAACTTCAATTAAAACTAATCTTATCAAACTTGAATATTAACAAGGGGATATTATTTTAAATTTACACCTACATCAATAATGTGGTAGCTAGGTAGATTTTGTGCTGATTGAAAGGATCTTCTTTATGTGACATCGATACCAAAGTTAGTTGAAATGTCTAAGGATTCAATAATTGGCCAGAGGGAGTTTTAAACCCAACCATTCCAAAAAAAAGAGCCTGAGCATGCTACATCCCTGCCACAACAAATGTTGAGAACTAGCCATGTTCCAGGCTCTCGCTGATCTCTCTACAATGTATATAACACCTAAGGCCAAATAATAACTTAAAAAAATAAGCTGATGCAATAATAATATACCCAATAGATATAAAAAATATCCCTTAACTTTATTTTATACAGCCATAATACTGTGAGAATAAACAGGACTTTCCCAATAATAACAATAAAGTAAAATAACAAACCACATTCAGGAACCAAGAATTAGCTTGGCATTATTATTATTACGCACCATTAATTCATTAAACAAAATTTTTCATGGAATACTGCATTGATTAGCCTATTTCATTATTTAAAAAGATGATTAATTTGTATCCACTTTATTAATACAACTGTGGTAATACTTGCTTAAGTACTCCTTATCACTGCGGCAAGACTAGTATTAGGTTTATGTTAGGTATTCTAAGAGAATAAACAAAAACATTATAACAGTAATATTTTGGAAAATTAACAACTAACTTCCACTCTACAAGTATGTTCTAAAACGTTTTATTTTAAATAATGTAAAGGGGTCAACTTAGATAATATTCGAAAATAAAATAATTAAGTTATTAAGTTACCCTCACTGAACTGTTCTCTGTCTATAAAATTAGACACACTTTCTTAAACCACAGAACAAATATTTTCCCTGATGTTTATTACCTATTTAAGACATGCCATTACAATCGCTACAGCGGCAATTCATTATTGATAGAAAAACTGTATTGTTCTTTTTAATTTTATAGTGTTGTCACTACCTCATTTTATGTTGGAACAACTATAAACCCGTTATTGAAAGTGGAAACTTAGTTCAAAGATCACTAAGATCAGTATTTCAAATATTCAAAGAGTTTAACTTTTCTGATCTTCTTGGGATCTTACTCATCCAAGTAACACTGAACTGTCATAATGGAGAATTAGTACTAAGTTTAATGTTATTTATTCAAAGTGGAAGTTATAATTTATTAGCAAGATTTTTGAAATGTGTTTTGTTGTTTAAGTTAAAAGAATAGTACGGTATATCTTTATCATAAGTCTACCCAACACGATTATTTTTGTTTCAGATAAGGTTATTAAATGCTCACAATTGAGTGTTGAAACACAAAACTAAAACATCTGAGATGTATTACATCAAGACATAGTTTAAAGCTGTTGGCTAATACCTGTGTGGCAAAAATAACAAAAAGTACTAAATATACTCAAAAATAACATAGTGACTACTCATTATAAATAATTAAATGATTGTGTATTTTTCAACGTTAAGTGTAATACTGTACTATATAGTTCTAAGTTCTATATAAATAAAATATTTATATATTTCTTATGAGATGAAAATACTAAACTATTTTCCAAATACTTTTCGACTTAGTAGAGTATGTTTGGTTACTTTGACCTGCGGGACGTAGGACTATCAGGAGGAGTGAGGGGGTGACGCTTTACTCCACTCTTCAACACCAGCTTCTTGAGTGGCCGAGGAGAGATGCCATGTTGATGAGAGTGGTCACCATCTCCTCCGGCGAACCACACCTTGGCTCCTTCCAAGCCTACAACAGTCCCATAAACTTAGGGGTGAAGATACTTGTTAAAAAATAAACAACTTCCTTTTTTCCACAAAATGTATATGTAGGCACTCTCTCTTTCTACTGACATGGGTAATATGATTTAAGAGGTAAAGTGGGTAAATATGACGCTTTGTGACTGTGTGATGTAGTTATATATATACCAGAGTGTTGAATTGTGTATAAATTGGCACAGTTCAACAGCAACATTAAATCAGTCAAAAACTACTAAACATACTGTTCATAACTGAGGTTTACCACCTTTCATCCTGTATGGCTCCGTAGGTCCCCGAGGATGGGAGTCTATCAAAGCAGCAGCCAGGTTAGAACTGTTAGACGAAGGTATCTGCTGCTCTACAGTGCGCATGCTCAAACCTGAAGCTCGTGTAGGCCCAGGACAGAATGGTGATGGGGTCTGAATGGGAGAATACACCTGAGCAGCAAACTCCTCGAACGTTGTGGAGTTCTTGTGGTTCTTCATCACCGTTTCTAATGAGCGAGAACGTTCCTCATAACTGAAAAAGTAAGTAAGCTATATAAACATACAAATTACTTGAGCCAACCAACTAGTGTTTCAGCTCTAAAGACTTAATTAAAAAAAATGAAATAGCTACATTAGAACTCCACTTATCCGAATCAATTGGGACCGTATCCCATTTAGATGGTAAAAAATTTGTGATTTTTACCGAGATTCAGCGTATCTACAAATATTTCATGACCAAAAAATTCATGCTTTTGCCTCTATCACGGAGGACGATTAAGATTAGCCTTGACTGCAGGAGATGAAGATTAAGTCTATAAGACCAAGGAAAAAAAGAACAAACTTGCTTTTACAAGTATGGAGATTAAACAAATCAAATACCCCCACTGCATCAAACTTTCGGACTTAGCAAATTTGTAGTTGTCTGATTGGATTTTTTCTCAAATAATTCCCTTAACTTGTCAGATTTTGTCCCTATTAAAAAAAAACAAAAAAAACAATAATTTCACTAGTACCTAGATTTGCCGCTACAGGGAAGGAAAAAGTGTTTCTCAAAGATAATGTTTGTAGCATTATAGATAGTATGAAATAAATTTTATATATTTACAAAATTTGATCAAAATATATCCATAAACAAGCAATTTACAACTGTTTACTTTTTCCTTATAAAAATAACATGGTAATTTTAAATGGAGTTTTTAAAATTTTATTCGTAGCCTTTACTTTTATTTCTAATTATTAGTTTTTTTTTAAGCTCTGGTTTAAATGAAAATCTTTGTTTATGTTTTAAGGGTTAACATTTAAAAACCCCATAACATTCCAAGACTCAATCTAGTTGGTTCGCGAACTCCAATTGTAATCATCTCTACTTGTTCATGCTAAATTTAATAAAAATCGGACCAATATTAATCAAGTTATCATGTACTGGGCACCCTGAAATTAATATATTTTCTAGGAAATATATTGACTTCTAGAAAATAAACTAATCTAGGGTTCACAGTTGTTTGAAATTTATACAATTTTGAACCAATAGTCTTTTACTTTTTGACCGCTGGGGACAATCAAAAATAAAAAGTAAATTGGTCCCAAGTCTAGGGTTTGCTGTACCACCTAAGAGGATAGTCTTCCATATAAGGATATTTGCTAAAAATAAGCAATCTGTTTTCATAAAAAATTAAATACAAATAGAAATAGATTGCTTTGTCTATGGAAGGTGAAAACGAATTAATTAAGGGAATAGATGGATTTTTCTACCGGATAATTTATTAATATCTGTTTAAACTCACTGATATTTCCTTAACACACATAAAATTAGTAAAATACACCTATACAATAAACAACGACCAGTTATAATAAAACTACTCACTAATGCTGATGAAAAGGTATATCGCTGCGCTTTGCCCGGGAGGCACTGATAGCAGTGGCACGGACCAGACCTGCTAGGGCGTGTTCTGACACAACCACCTCGTTGAAGAGAGGTCCAAAGTAAGGAACCTCAGGCTTGCGTGACACTTGTACTCTGAACATCCTGTGAGGCCGAGGGTACACCACTATCAGCACATCACAGAACTCTGTGGGTATGATGCCTCTGCGGTAGTCTCTTGAGTGTTCCGACCAAACAATGTGTACCTCATCGTTGCCCAGGTGTCTTGTCTGATAGAACATTTATGAATAAGGATTATATAGTGGAATATACAACTAAAATACACCTAATATAGGGATCAAATTTATTTAAGTTACTGTATGCTTTCAGTGCATTGGAAAATATAGCTTTAACTTAAACATCAAACACAATTAAAAATAACAAGAAACAAAACGATGAAGGGAAAAATAAGGTGATTTGTTCTTAAACAGAGACCAAGAAAGCAAATAATTTATCATACGGGTTTAATTATATTGAGGTGTAGCCTAATAAAAGCCTTAACTTATATTAAACTTATGTTAACTTTATTTCGAATACTTAAACAAGGTGCCTTTGCAATCACTAAGATATAGGACGTAACCTCAATCTCTACGGATGGAGCTATTTCAGTTTACCTCAGTTCCTGAAATAGGGTAGGTTGAGTTGAGATTCAGATTTATTTGCTGAGAAAAGGATCCAGAATAATTTAGAGTTAGAGGTTAGTTGAAGCTCGCAAGCCGCTCTGCACTGTTATTGGTTCAAAATGATGTCATCTGTATTTTGTGCGGTGTTGCTGCTTTCATTTCCAAACGAGCCACTCAACTAGTGACTACCAACTCACTTCTCAACAGTTGGATTTCAAAAATTCCAAATCCTGTTGTTGGTTGAGTTGAGTGTTGACGATTGACTCAACTCTCAACCATTTCAAAAATAGGGCCCCTGGTTGGGAATTTCTTTTGTAATTATTGTGTTCAGGCGTTATGTACAATAAAGCTTTTTCTATTGCCTATTATCTATGTATAGAGCATAATTATTCTCTTCCTCTTTCACTTGTCGTTGCGAAGGTATGGCGGCTAGTAAATATCCTTATGATATAAAAGAATGTACAAAAGCATAATACTTGTACCTTTTGTAGGAGGGCTTCGTGGTTAGATGAAGGCATCCGAGTGGAGACATGGAATATAACTTCTGTGAAAGATGTTGCATAATACGGAGCAGTGGAGCCTGTGGTCTTGTTCCTTTGAAGACCTCCCATGAAACCAGTATGCGACTCCAACTCCACCTGGTTAACATAGAGTTACTTGGAATTATCATTAAAACTGGGAATACACAACACTGCAAAAAATATATAAAAAGACAAGCTATATACATATATGTACTCATATAAAAACTGTTTTAAATATGTCATTCTTGGTAATATTTGACAATGATAAGGCAGATAGATCAGTTTTTAACAATTTATTTTTTTATGCATTAAAACCGTGCTGTATAATTTATTGATACTGTGATTGTTATATTTGTAATATTGTAATTACTGTAAGTGTTTTTGATTTTCATCTAACAATACAAGTGCAGTGCAGTGCAAATAAAGGAAATACCAATGTCATTCCGGACCATTAGTGAAATTATGTACTTTACCATCCTATCCCGAAAAACTCAAAATTTGCAGGTTCGAGGTTGGTTATATTTTAATGTTTCAGGTCATTTCCTCCAGTAAAAAGATCAATCTCCCATGGTCATATGGATTGTGGACATTGTCATCATCTACGGCAATCGCAGCAAAATTTTGATCATCTCCCGCAGTCTTGTAGACATCTTTATTGTCTCCCGCAATAATGGCAAGATACTAAACATCTCCTGCACGCATGTAGACACTCATAAAAGGTGTTATTCATAAAAGGCATGTAGACATCATCATCTCCCCCAGTCATAGAAGCGTCATTGTCATCAGGCAAAATTGTAGCAAAAGCATTAAATTTTTGATTGCATAATCTTTGCTGACGTTTCTGGTATCGGTATTGGCATAGACTTTTCAGAATACCGATACCAATGTCCAAGAAACGGTCGTATCAAGAACTGGTATCGAGAATCCACACATACTGTATGTCTCCATACAGACACAAACTGATAACTCTAGTCATTGTAGTCCGATTTGATTTTAATGAAATTTTGCATGAACATGAAGGGCTGGAGAAACTTGATTGAGTTAGCAAACCAGTAAGAAGGGGTAATCCTATCTTATCAGGTATCACCACTTATCCTACACTCATCCTTCACTCATATTTGGGTTATAATACGCACATAATGGCGTCCCCATCTTAAATAATTGATATAATAATTTATATAATTGTAATTGGAAAAGGGTTGTATGGGGTTAAAGAATACTTTTTCAAATTTTTACCTCTAAAACACCAAAATGCCTGATTTTTATTGGAGCCATTATGTAGGCCTAGCGCTTATAAAAATATCCCCGCCGCAGTAAACCTGCAGACTGCAGTCTAAGCGAATTTCCATTTTCCTGATTGGATTTTCACTAAAATATCTCCTAAAAGATGTCATATTTATTCCCTATTGACAAATGAGTAAATGACAATTCTTTATTGCACATAACATCTGTTACAATTATTACAAACGTAATACACAGACAGGTACATTGTCAAGGTTTCTAATAAATAAAGAATTCATATAAATAAGCTAAGATTTAGCCAGTAAGGTACCCCTAACAAAAAACTACAGCACAGTGTAACTGTTTGTGTAAGTAGATAAGAGAATGGGTGTCTGTTACCAAGAGTCGTTGAAAAATTCCTCAAGACTGTAATATGCGTTTTCTGCTAAAACTATTTTTATTTTATCTGTAAATTGTTCTAAGTTTAATTGCTTTAACGCATTTGGAATCTTATTGTAAATTTTTAACCCATATAGAGAGGTCTTGTTTCATATTTTTTTAATTGTGAGTGGGGTATTGAAAAATGTCTTGTCTTCGGGTGTTATATGAATGATTCAATGATTACTAAGATAATAATTTAGCAGCTGATTGTTGTATTGTTATTTCATTGATTTGTTCTTTGTTTACATGTTCAAAATTTACATTTGTGTTTAAAGTGTGTTCCTTATATTAGGTGTGTTTCTAAATCTAAAGTTGTGTGCTGATAATTATTAGTGAGTATAATGGTGTTTGCAAATTTCATAACCATTATTTTCCTAGAGTCCATTGTATTTCACAACGGGCTCTATTGATAGTCCTACTAATCCTACTAATATTATAAGTGAGAAAGTTTGGATGTATGGATGGATGGATGGATGTTTGTAACAAGTAAATGCGAAAAATACTAAACCGACAGTGTTGAAATTTAGTATGATGATAGTTCACATTCCCAATTAACATATAGACATATTAGACATTAGACATTATTTATTTGCACATAACATTCTTTTACATGTGATAACATATAGAACAGGTGCATTGTTAAAATTGAGCCTTGACTAGAAAAATGCAAAGTACAAAGTAACAGAAAAAAAACCTAGCCAAATAATGTTAATAGTTTAAGAAAATGTAATTTTATGTAATTTAATAATTCGTATATGTATAAGTCCTGTGAATGTTTGGATTTTTAAATTTAGAAAAAAGTTATTTACAAGGACTTCTGGGGTGGGAATTAGTGATAATTCGGAGGATTCTTTTCTGAAGTCTGAAAATAGTTTTTGTTGCAGTTGCCTGTCCCCACAAAATCACACCATACTTCAAGATGGATTCTACATACGTTTTACATAAATTTTAAGTACTTCAATGGTGACACATACTCTCAAGTGGACAGAGACAGATGATGTGGATCTAATTTTGTCTGCATAACATCATGATGCACCTCTCAGTTAATATTTCCATCTAGATGAATACCTAGGAATTTATTTGAATGGGCTAAATTGGAAAAACTATTTAATTCTCTTTCATTTCTGGCTGAAAATTGTCTAACTTGGGTTTTGTCAATATTGAGTTTAAAGCCATTTATTTTAAACAAATTTTCCATTTTTTTCATAACTTCTGTGAGGGATGTAAAAAACTTTTATCTACTATTTTTTTTATGATTGCAGTAGTATCGTCTGCAAACAGAATCAGATCTCTATTAAAAGCTTTAGGGAGGTAATTTATGTAAATTAAAAAGAAAAGGGGACCTAAAATAGAGCCTTGAGGCACCCCAAGCTTTATACATTCCCAATGCGAGAAATGCCTGGTTCCTCCATCAGAAATTACAGTTTATTTCTTCCGATCTGAAAGGTATGATCTAATAAAGGAAAGACAACTTCCTGAAATTCCATAGTCATGTAGTTTTTGAAGCAATAGTAAATGATTGATACAATCAACGCCTTGGATAGATCACAGAAGACACCAGCTGCAGTCTGTGACCCATCCATAGCCTCCGATACCTCATTAATAAAGTGTAGGCCTACAAGAGATGTATTTGTTCCAAGGGTTTTCCTTAAACCAAATTGATTTTGATAAAGCAGATTATTATTTTCAAAGAAACAAACTAATTGATTATTTATAACTTTTTCAAAGACTTTAGAAAATTTGCTTAAAACTGATATTGGACGGTAATTGTTGATATCTGACCTAGAGGCTTTTTTGAAAATTGGAGTTATTTGTGAGTATTTAAGTTTGTCTGGGAAGATTCCATTTGTCAAACACTGATTTATGATAATAGATAAGGGTTCAGAAATGAAATTGACAGCAGCTTTAATTAATTTGTTCCCAACCCACAGAAATTTTGTTATTTAGGGAAAGAAGTTTTTCACTTCGCACATACTAATCTGCTGCAGATTACTCAACTAAATTCCTCCATCTCTACAATAGTCTCAGTCGAACAGATTCATGAACTTTGCACGGTGGCCTTTGGTACATTAATGTTCAAAGCTGTTTTGGCAAAGAAAGTGTTAAATGCTCCAGTTACATCCTGAGGGTTACATATATCTTTATCGTTATTAATTAAAAAAGTTTTGCCATCAATTTTGTTTTTCATGTGACCAAGTTCTTTATTAACAACTTGCCAATCAGCTTTAGACTTATTTTCAGACTTTGCTATGTATTCACCATTTGCAATTATTTTTACCTTTTTTACTACTTTTTAAAAGAGTTTTTTGTACTGTTTAACATACATTAAAAACCGTCTATCTTTATCATACATAGCTTGCAAGTGGAGTTCCCTTTTCCTCACACTAGATATTTTAATCCCTTGTGTCACCCAATTCAAAACTGTTGGCTTACATTTACGAGTTTTTTTCAAAGATTTTTGAGGAAACACATGATTGAATGTTAGTAGGAATTGGTGCAGAAAGTTGGAATAGTTTTCACTCGGTCTCAAGCTAATAAATTTTTTCATTTGAAAATATTCTTCTATAGAAGGTGCCGGATTATTTATGACACAGCTAATTTGAACCAAATAGCAACAAAAAGCTGTGGTACACAATGAGAACTTTACATTTTTCTATGGTTTAGGTGCAGTTGTAGAACATTATGGCTATGGTAATGTGCTATACTATAACATACCATATAGTTTAAAAGAACCAAATTTTCTTAAACCGTGTCTTCTCCCATAACTGCAAAAGACATTTTATACTTATATGCCAACCCTGAACGAAGGACGGGTACTCTGCTAGTAATTTTATAAGTGAGAAAGTTAGGATGTCTGGATGGATGGATGTTTGTGAGAAGTAAACGCGAAAAATACTGGTCGGATTGGGCTGAAATTTGGTGTGATGATAGCTCATATTCCCGATTAACATATAGACACATTCTTATCTAAAAAATCCTTTCGAGCTCTGCCCCAGTGGTTCTGGAGTTTCACATGTTAACCTTATGTATTTATATATAAATGGAATAAAAGAATTTTGTCAGCTGTTTCAACTACACAAGTTGGTTCTGATATTATAGCTATTTACATTACAAGTGTAGTAAGAGCGTTTTTACATCATGCAGGTGAATGTTGTGCAACGAGCGGAAGCGAGTTGCATAATTCACCTAAGAGATGTAAACACGCTCTTGCGCAACGTGTAACGTACAAGATTTTACCTGACCCGACAATATACATGGGTTTACGTACAAAATTTTTTATTATCCATTTCACTCATCGTCTAACAGTAACGTTCTTTTACAAACAAAAGCTAGGTTAGGAAAATACTTTAAAGCATAACAATACAATAACATTCAAGCGCACAGCTGATTTCTAGCGTTGAACGTTGATGCCTCCATAGAGGTATATTTTTTTAAGTTAAGCACTCAATGTTATTTAAATGGGTTTCATTACATCACCGAGTGAGTTTTTTTCAACTTTACATCACTCGAGAAGTAAGGAAGTTGTATCACGCTTGGGATAGGGAAGTTTAACATGGCGGGTTAGGTAAAATAGTATTAAAATGTTGTAAGGTTTACCAACAGGGTAGCACTATTTATTTTTTATGCATTTGACAACATCTAATTTGAACCAACTAGCAACAAAAAGCTGTGAAAAATGACGATTTCACTTTTTTTTTGTTTAGGGGCATTGGTAGAACATTATAGCTATGGTAGATGGGCTATACTGTAGCATAGCGTAAATTTAAAGAACCAAATTTCTTAAGCCGTGTCCTCTCCCATTGCAAACGGAAAGCACAAGTATAACTGCAATAAGAATTTTTTATACTTAAAGCTGGGTTTTCCTAGACGCAGAGTCGGCCAGCGGAGAGAGGAACGCGGAGAGCGGAATTGAAATTAACATGGCATTCCGCTCCGCTGCTAGGAAAACAGTAACATTAAATTACCTAAGACAAGCTGAGTCCGCTCTCCGCGTTCCTCTCTCCGCTGGCCGACTCCGCGCCTAGGAAAACCCGGCTTAAACGCCAACCCCGTACGAAGGACGGGTGCTAGTTGTACTATATTTCCATTTAATTTATTCACACTTGTTTTGAACTCATATTGATGATCTAGGCCTATACATCAATTTTGATCTCCATTTACTGCTCTTTTTGACTGCTATGTTGAATAAAAATTATAAAATTGTTTAGCTTAAGTTATAGTAAGTCAAAGTAAAAAAAAGTTTAAAACAAAGTTTAAGTTTAAAAAATAATTTATTTTTCTTCAAAAATAATTTTGTTGGTCCCAATTTATTTTGAAAATTTTTAAATCTTACTGTACAGTATACCATTTTATAGAGAATCCATTCATGCACAAAATTTAAAAAGTACATGGATACCTCTTAAATTTATGTATTTGATATGATATTTTATATAAACTACTGAATTTTCCTTTGAAATTAGCTCGGCAATCTATCTATGCATAAGAAATAGGCATGACACTGCGGCACCCAAAGGGTTAAAACCATTGGAGGGGTCCCTTTAATTGAGGCTAACAAAATTTGTTGGGGGGATTTTAAATCAAGAACTTTCGTTCAAGTTTGCTGATAGGTGTTTGACTTGCAGTTCTCTCAAAAGTTTTTGATCCATATAGCTTTATTATGTAGATACTTAAATAAAACTCCAACCAATTAGGCAAATTTAAGTTCGCTTAGTCTGCAGGTTTGCTGCAACAGGGGTATTTTTTTATGTATCACCCCAATAAACATTATTTTGTCCTAGACTGACCTCCCACGCAAGAGCAGCTATGAAGTCCTCATATGCTTGACTGCCTCCAGTATTACTCAATATAGAGTTTTTATCCTCCTGGCCAGGAGCTATGTAGATGACAGCAATTTTGTGGGTTTCCCGACACCTCTGAAAAATGTTTGATTTTTAGAGATGCCAAGGACAACTGGATAACAAAATACTTATTATATAGATCATGAAATGTTGTTACTATTGAAAAAATTACAGTACAAAGGTAGCACAAATTACTAGGGTATTCAGGCATGGAAACAATAGAGAACATGGGTCTCATCACTTCTTGGAATTGCCAGGAGATAATGTCCTCGCCCACCAATTTTCACAACAGTACATTCCCAATTAACCGAGGTTGTTGGGACCGAGACTACCTCGGTTACCAAAAACCTCGGATAACTTGGAGGTGGTGTAGATTTTGAGGATAGAGTTTCGGTAACTTATTATGAAGTCAAATACCTGTTAAAAATATCTTTAAACAACACATAGCGAATGATAAAAGAGAAATGATAATAATGTAATTTTGATGTAAACTTTTTTCCAACTAACGTAGAATTGTTAAAGAAAAAAATGACACAACAAACATGTTCAACACTTTTTCAATTGTCTTGAATAACTTTTAACACAGTGGCCTATTATTAGAATTATTATAAACCAAAACACTACATTATTTAAAACAAAACACTAAGGTGGATCTTTCTGGTTTAGAAGGCATAAAATTATATTTTTTAAATTTGACCTGATCTATAACTTATGTCTGCATCAAAACATAGAAATGCAGAAGACTGACCGACACTGCTATTGTTTATGTTCTGCCGACGACTTGTCCAGTCCACTTAGTTTTCCATTGTAGCAGTCAAATGAAGAGTTAGAATTGAAATTAGAAAACACACAGACAATTTCAACAAAGACCAAGGACTTGATCTTAGTAACAATTGGATGCCAATTTTAAGCCAAATAAAAGTAAAGTGTGTTCATGAAAGTTCTGGAAGTATTGAGGCACGAGGGTTACAGCGGTCAGCAAACGCCGGGGAAAACACGCGGGCAGTAAACAGGTCAGCCCCTCTACACATTCCTGGGATGTCTAATCCCCACCCCCCCAGATATAACCTGCAACCTTGCCTATCTGTAAGCACCACTTGATTTTTCATCTGTGCGGAGTCAAGTCGCCCTGATAATGGCACTCTGTTTCGAGGCCGAAACGTCAGTGAGTGTTAGTGTTTTGTCGTTTTTGACACGGTCGTCGCCAGAAGACCACGATTCTACTTTAAGTGACCGTGGAAGACTATCCAGGAAAAAGATTAGCCATGTTGGAGGAAATTGCCCACTTTTGAAAAGCTACTGCGGCCAAACAGCTAAGCCGATTTTAACATATTCTAACACCAGTCAACACATAATTTACTGCGCTTAAGAAACAATGAAACACAAATGTCTGTATGATGTATCGTTTAAGAGTTACAAGTGAAAAACTAAAAAGTGCACGGTTTTCATAGTTTTTCAACTCCCAAAACTTAAGCAGACGTCGGAATCCGTCACAAAATCGCAGGACTATTATTTAGGACTCCATAAAGGTATTAAAACACTTTCCAGCTTTAGAAGATTTTTTATGGAGCACGACAATTTTTGGTCTAATTTGACTGATTAAAGCAACATAAGGTCGCTTTGGAATTAACCATTCAACTTCAAACATATAATTTTTTGTACCCACTTGGGATTTTAAAATAATACTTTATTTAAGTACAATTTTCCTTATGTCTTACTTGGGTATCAAGATTCCTTAGCTCTCTAAGCAATTTTTCACTCTTCTCCAGCAAGTACAGTTGTGCTCGACGCTCCCAGCCTGCCAAGCCCAGTTGAGAGAACAGCAAGCGGCAGTGTTGGAACGGAGACTTGGGCAGACGACTCTCCAGCCTTCTACATCTCTCAGCCTGCATTCTGTATATCAGATATTATAATCAGTAAGCTTTCAGCCTGTCAAGTTCAGTTGAGAACACTAGAGGTGCCCATTCCCCCCCCCAAATCCAGAGGCGCGATTCCCCCCCCCCCCAAGCTAGAGGAGCAGTTCTCCCCCATTTTACACTGCCCTCTATTTAAACCTCCCCCCACCAATTTACTTGGCGATTTAACACATAAAACGAACATTTCAAGTATTTATAGTGTGTATACAGTAGGGTGGTGCAAGGGCCTATCAGCTACCTGGGACAGTTCCTATCTCCCCTCGGCGCATGCAGCCGTTTCTTAGACAAATTTTTCACTCAAAATTATTCACAATAACCATGATATGCTGGATATAAATGATGGTCACGAAATTCAAAATTACTGCGGGAAAAGAAAATTTATTAATTACTTTGGAAGTTTGATATATATAAAGAAATAAAAACTAGGGACAGCACACAAATTATGAATGAAAAACTCAATTATAAATTTAATTACATTTTCAACATTCTCCTCCGTCACTACAATAGTCCAATATCAGCTGTTGATAACGCAGACGACAATCCAGAGTCCATGTCGGTCGAGTCCTGATTCAGATATGATGATTAAGATTTCCATAAAATCATTCTATTATACATATAATTTAAACAATGTTCAAAACATATCATTGATTTTTTCTTGACTTTTGATTACCATATTTTTTAAAATCCCGAGCAAAAACTTGGTCCATTCTCCATGTTACTACACCGTTTTCCCACGGTACCTTTGTCAACATATGTTGTCACTCGCGACGCGGCAAGATCACCAACGATCGGAACAAATCACTTACCGAGAAAATCCCGTATCAAATGTAGGGGTGTCTGAAGCAGCAACAAATTTTGAATTCAAAGCAACAATTTGATCCAAAAAATTTTCAAATCAAATCGATACAACTCGATTTCAAACAACATGGCATTTTTCTATTCATATTTGCCAATGGAGTTAAGTATTTGTTTTAAATCATATGAGAAGAACCAGTATTGCTGGAAATGTCAGAGAGCTGCTTGCCTATTTCATAATCTTTAATTGCGGCATCATATTGTTAAGCATGCTACCTATTTTATATTATTGATTTTACAAATAAAGATATGTTTTGGTGTAGACAAATAATAAACTTTGTAAGATTTACTAGCTTGTACCCACAGCTTTGCCTGCCATAACCATCTGACATAAGAACATAAGAAATAAACAGAATATTACAATCTAAATCAAAACTGTTGACACAAACAACAGTTAACAAATAACTTTACAATGTTTTACTTGAATTCACTAAAACATCACCAACTGTACCGATAACCCCATTTTCGTATGGATGTAATCAAAATTGAATCATGGCCATCTGTTTTGATGTAAACAAAATGTAAACTTGAAAAACTTCACCAGGTGATTGACAATAGAATTCAGCACAAACTCTGAAATTTTAAAAGCCTATAGGACAAAGGGCTTTTACGGAATATCATCCAAACCAGCAAAAGGCACATCTAGAGGATAAGAGCTTTAAATTGATACCCAATATGCCTATACAAATAAATATTTAGTGGTCGATTTGCTGCACACAAAAATCCAACAAATTCTTTTAATAATATAGATACTGAATCTTTCAATTGGTTTACATTGATAAAATAATCAGAACTACAAATTATACATAACTTGTATGGCTAAGCAATGTCTCAGTGAATAACTTATATAATTAATGTCAACTAGTGTACATGTTGCTCGAATTCGAGCAATTGCAAAGTATTACAGGAGTTATTTCAAAACGAATAACAGTCATATTTACAATGAGTTGAAAAGAGTCAGCTCAAAGATTACCGGTGTGTAACTCAGACCATGTTTATCTTCGTTATTGATAAACCTAAAGCATTCCGGCCGGTTTTCTCCTTCTCAAAATGCCTCGCTGTACAGGCAACACAGGTCATTGATAGAGGGCCAATTGAGAACGAAAAGTCGTTTTGGGGTAGTGTTAGGGCGCATTTGTAACCTAATATTTGAGATTGTCCAGGGTCAGGTGCTGACTGTGATGAGTAAAAGTTACGCGCCACTGTTCTGTAGCTGCGGTCGTTATCACGATTACGCCTCCTGTCTATGTTTCGTTGTCGTCGCGTCGGAGGTATTTAAAATAAAATAAAAAACAACAAATAAACAAATTATAGCTACACAAAACAAACTTATAAATTTAAAAAAATATATAATTTCTAAATTATAAGTTAAAAATTATAAATGCACAAATCATGCTAACACAATTCGTCATAGTGACACAAAAAAACGATAAATACACAAATTTAAGATACAACCATACCAACATGATCCATCTTGGGGGTTATGTTTACACAAACTCAAATAGTAAATAAATGTACTCAATGGGTTTCATTGAATTTAAAAATAAATAACAGCAATTAAATAATACAGCTGATCAAAATGTAAACAATTATGTTCTACATAAGGACAACATGGGAACTTTCAAAGCCACTGGGGCAGAGCCCAAGGGACCTTTTCAAAAATGTAAGGCCAGTTTGCAAATCTACGCGACACGCTCTTTCCAATAAGCCGTCAATCGATAAAATCGGTTAAGAAATGGCGGAGGAGTTCAACCGACAAAGTTTCATGTAGCGTATTAATTATATAGATAACTTTGCATATGAATACTGATTTAATACCATATACAGGATGTTCAAAAAAGGTGGGGACATATTTTACCTAGTGATTCCTTGGGTCAAAATAAAGAATAAAACAAAAAACATTTTTCCAAAATCGCTTCGTTAACCAAGATATCTGCCATTTTGTATTTTTTACATAAACATTTTTATCTTGGATAGGAATTTTATCAACCGATCAGATCTTTATGACACTTGGTGTGTATGTTAAGGTACAGATAAGTCATTTAAGTTTCACACAATAACGGAAGAACACCTCACTAAAGTGGTCCTTTCCTTTGAAAACAAGTACTCTGCAGGTGTTGATGAAATTCCAATCACCATAGTTAAAAAATCAATACACATTATCCAGAAACCACTTACACATATCATAAACTCTTCTCTAATTTCAGGAATCTTTCCATCAAAGTTAAAATTGGCTAAAGTAATCCCCATTTTTAAAAAAAGGTAATAAAACTGATCCCTCCTGTTACCGCCCTATCTCTCTCTTACCTGTTTTTTCAAAAAATTTTGAACGCATTGTTTACATTTAGGTCTATAAATATCTGGAAAATAATCAACTATTTGATAAAGAACAACATGGCTTTCGGCAGGGCAAATCAACACACACACAGCTGGTATTGAATTCAGAGAATCTATAATAAATGCTGCTGACAGAGGAGAAAATGTTGTAGGAATCTTTTTGGATCTTAGTAGGGCATTTGATAGCGTGTCACATAGTATATTGTTGACTTCACTCAAAGAAATGGGAATCTATGGAAAATAGCTTGCATGGTTTACATCATATCTAGAAAATAGAAAACAGCAGAAGTCACGTTGCATCGTGATAACTGCGACACAGCGGATAACTAGTAACTCGTTATATTATGCAGAAAATTACTCTTGGGTGTTGTAACATGACATCTGTTGTAGGTTATGTATATGGCACTGATATATTGTTTTTTTTTGTTATATGAGATTATAGATTTCTGATGTTTCATGATCAATGTTACTCTAGTGTTAGGAATTGAATATATTTACGAGAGTGTATGCATATGTTAACTATAAAATATGATATTGTTGTCTTTTGTATGTAACTTATACTTTTAAACATGATCTTTACTAATTGAACCTTAATGAATTATGTTTGTAATAAGGGACCATGTACCAAATTATCAGTATATCTTTATCCGCCTTTTATGCTCCTATATCCGGTTTTGCTGTTGAGGGTTAGGCAAGTTATAGTAGGTAGAGTAGGCCCCGATAGGACCTGCACCATGTATATATTCATAATCTAACTTGTAATTATTGAACTGGTCAGCTAGACTAGACCTTATATGATTGTTTATTTCTATTTGCTTTATAATGGTGCAGTTGATAAATGTTATTTAGCTCAACCCTTGGAAATACTTTGTAATTTAGCTAGGCAAGGTCCCGCAGATTCCGATACCCCGAGCGTTCGTGAATCATCGAGTTGCTGTTACTACAGACAATTTAAGTGAATGCCAGAGTGTGTCTCCAAATGAAAAATATACACGCCAAGTGATGTGAAGCCATAAACAATTCTGTTCCCGTCCAAGGACATGATGCATACCTCACTAGCAGATAGCCAAAGACTTCAAGACCACACCAGTTCTGCAGTGTTATGAACAGGGAGGAGGAGTTAGTGAAGTGTAGTGCAGATGAAACTGCCTTTTGAAGCAGCTTACAGAGACATGTCACCCTGATGTTCTAGAAAGACTGCCACGTTTACACACCCAGAGCTGTCATGTTCTACCAGGACGAGACGAGGACTTCTTCAGAGAGAGATCTGCAGCCACCCCTAGCAGATCTTCAAGCAGGGGGAGTGTGACGTGGGGCCCATATCCCACGCAAGTCGAGGGGGATGCTGGGGCAGACTGCTGAGACAGCATCCTCGAGCCTTGGTGCTTGGACGACGACAGAGGCAGTGAGCTGCGAGACACGGGACCGAGAGGGTCAGAAGACGCGTCGTCACGCGGTCGGTGTTAGGGGTCGGTCGGAGCCTTGGTCTTAGATCAGGGAATAGTATTTATGGTTTTGTTAGTGTTTAAGATAGGGAAGTTCGTTTTGATTTTAAATAAATAGTTCGTTGGTCTGTTAATTGTTGCGTGTTGTTTTATAGACCTCTCATCCAAGCGAAACCCCCCCGCACCCCTTTAGAGAGGAGTGACGTGACAAAGCCTATAAAGTAACCGTCAATTTTGACGGGTTTAACCTAGTCAAATAGTTATAAACAATTAATCAAGTAGTATTAACATTCAAGTAAAGTGTTTTAGTTCAGTTATTGAAAGGATTCAACAGCTGATA